CTTATAAGCCACAGAGGAGTAAGGAATCAAGGGGCAAGAGGACCACCTTCTTTCTTCCCGGTCCAGCTTGTAGAAGCTGGATGAGTTGGTGTCTATGAACCATTTTTCCCAAAATGTGTATCTTTAACTCCTTCCCCCGTCCGTAGGTGTGTGTGTGTGTGTGTGTGTGTGTGTGCGCGTGTGAGCAAAAAGGCTGGAATGTTAACTTTGATTTGTGGTTAAACAGAACATATTTCCCTGGCGTTTTGCAAATGCTAAACCCAGAGAGACCTGGGATTGAGTCTGTCACCTCAATGACCCTGGCCTTCTGGATTTCTGGACAATTTTAATTCCTAAGGGGGTAGCTTCCTCCCTGTCTCCCACAGCTGCCCTTCCAGGAGATTCTCCCTCCATGAAGCTGTATGGAGAGGGAAACAGCCCGTCTCTGTTTGTAAGACCATCTGCTTCCTAGGTGTCCTGATTCCTGAGAGTGACAGGAAGCTAGGAACATGTGACCTCAAAGTTCACTGGGTTAGGGCACTTGCCCTGCTCACCCACTGAAGGCACCTAAGGACCCTTCCTTGACCCCACCCCCACTCCTCACTTCCCTGCAGTGACAAAAGCACCGCTCTGCTTCCCAATGTCCTTAGAGCATCCTTCCCATCTTTCCCATGAGTGGAGAGCCCCTCTGTCACACCACACCACACCACACCACCCTCTCTAGCACCGCACAAAACCTGCGGCCTCCAAAAGAGGTCTTTGTCTGTGTCCTATCTCACCTCCCTCTTCCCATGAAGAGAAGCCCTCCAGGGCTGTGTCCTTCGCGGGCCCGACATTTCCTCTCTGCCCAAAGGCCAGCTCCTTCTCCTCACGCTGAGGAGACTTCCATGCCCTCTGTAGAGTCACTGCCCATCTCATGCTTCTGTTTCAAAAGCTCCAAGCCACCGAGGTCTCCCTCCAGCACAGCCCTGTCCCCTGCACTCCCTTCTCAATGTGCTCCTCCCTGGAAACTCCAAGCACACCCCACAGCACAGCATCAAGGCCCTGACCCCCCTCCCAGACCCCTTGATGGGTCTCAAAACAGGAACCTGGACCTGACCCAGGGCATTTGCAGTCCTCTTGTGTACTCTCCTTGCTGGAGTGTGTGTGGGGGAAGCACAGCCCCATTACCATGGCCACCCCTTCAGGACCCCTGGGCCAAACTTTGAACAAAGATGGATCTGGCTTGTTCCCACTCCTAACACTCCCTGTTCCCTGCCAGCTTCCAGCTGAGCAGCCTCTGTCCCTCCTTGTGCTCTCTCTCCTCAGGCTGAAGCAGAGAGTCTCCTCCCAGGATGCCTTCCTGTCAGAGCGCCCTCCCCACACCTCTGCAGGCCTGGTCTCACCTGTGAGCAGGAGCCCTTTGCAGAGAAGCAGAGAAGGGGACTCCATGGTCTCTGCTCCCCTGGTGCAGTCCTGATGTCTGCCCTGCTGGTCTCCTTCCCTCTTATGTCTCCTGTCCTTAGCCCCAGGGGCGTCTCCCAGAGTCACATGCGAGGTGAGCAGGGTCTCTGCCCAAGGCCATGTTCTTTGTCAACCCCTGTTCTTGCTGTGGCCTGACCTTTCCTGCTCTCTCCTCCCCCACCCCACCCGTGTTAAAGATCCATTCTTTAAGATTTATTTATTTGGGTTTTTGTTTTTGAGATGGGGGGGTATCTAATTACATAGTTCTGGATGTCCTGGAACTTGCTTTGTAGACCAGGCTGGCCTTGAACACACAGAGATCTGCCTGCTTCTGCCTCCTGAGTGCTGGGATTTTAAAGGTGTGTGCCATCACCACACAGCAGGATTTCTTTTTTTTAAAATGTATTCAAACTTCTTACTTTGTGAATGATGGTTATTTAAAGAAGTCATGGCTGGATTTCATCTTTTCTCACCCTGCTCCCAGACGCCATTTCCCACCCACCGTTCTGATTGCACGGGGTCTCCAGCCCCTGACCTTCAGCCAGTTGCCCTCATTCTGATGGCCTGGAATGCCTGCCTTTCTCTGCAGCTTTTGCACAAGGACGCGATCATTTGGTCAGGAAGTGAGCCCTGACCATCTGGGCCTACAGAGCAGCTCTCCTACTCCAAAGCCCACGGCCTGTGACACAGGAGATGGAAAATGACCTGGTGCCCCAACATTCTCTGCAAAACTAATGTTTGTTTATTATTAATTTTACTGCCCGTGTATCTCTCTGATTGGCATCCAGACCACAAGCCCCACCTGGTCCCAAGAGACTTGGTTGATGTGACTTTGAGCTACAAAGCCCTCCAGGGTCACACTGGGAAATCTTGGTGGAGGTTCCAGCTGGGGCCCCCCAAAACTTGCTATGTGACAATTTGTCAGCAGCACATTCATTTGTCCTGGAGCAGATGATGGCTGGGTGTGAGGGTGGGGTGAGGATGGGGAGATGGCTCCCCCAAAGAAGCCTGCTTTCTGGCTCTGGCTTTCTCAGCTACCATTCCCCTTCTTAAGTACTGGAAAGAGTTACATGACAGGGAAGGCCCTGCCCAGTTACCTTCACCCACCAAGAAACCCCAGTTCCTGAGCCCCTGTCTTGTGCCCTGCTCTAGGTTAGACACATTGGTGGTGACTGTGAGTCCTGGCCCTGCCCTTTTGCTATGAGAGAGAAAAACTCACTAAGAGACAGGAAAGACTCAGTGTCTTTCCTCCGGGATCTGTAGGAGTCTCAAGGGAACGTCTGACTCACCTGATGGACATCTGAAGGTAGAATTGGAAAGGACAGCAGTTAGCGAGTGGACAAGAACTTTATCTTTTGGCTACCATGACATTTAGTCCCAAATATCCCTTTGGATTTCTACTGAATTAATTTATTCATACTTACTGATTTATTTCTACTTCTGGTTGAACCTAGTTAGCCTGGAAACTCATATTCCCAACAAAAGAATCCCCCTGTCTCAGTCCCCTAGGTGCTAAAGTTACACATGTAAAACTAAGATGACATTTCCAGCCAGGCGCTGATGGCGCATGCCTTTAATCCCAGCACTTGGGAGGCAGAGGCAGGTGGATCTCTGAGAGTTCGAGGCCAGCCTGGTCTCCAGAGGGAGTGCCAGGATAGGCTCCAAAGCTACACAGAGAAACCCTGTCTCGAAAAACAAAACAAAACAAAAAAATTAAGATGGCATTTCCTAGTTGTGTAGCCTTGACTTATAAAACCTCTAAGGTCACTGTTTGGACTATTTAGCTAACTCTTCCTTATCTGCCTTAAACAATAAAAGAAGATGGTGGTGGTAGTGGCACATGCCTTTAATCCCAAGCACTTTGAAGGCAGAGGCAGGCAAATCTCTAAATTGGACACCATCCTGGTTTATATAGTGAGTTCAAGGATGGCCAGGGCTACTCAGAGAAACCTTGTCTCCAAAAACCAATAAAAAAACAAACAAATAAATGAATGAATAACTTCTTACATGCTTTAGAATGCCTTGGACTACAGCATTTATCATTTGTTTTCATTAATTTGAGACACACTCTCATGTGTGTTGCCCATTCTGACCTGGCATCACATGGGGGCTGAGGATGACCTTGAACCTCTGGTCCTCCTGCCTCCAGCTCCCCAGCGCTAGGATGACAGGGAGGTGCCAGCACTCCGGTGTGGCAGTCTCACCCAGAACATGCCAGGCAAGCACACTGTCAACTGAACAGCATTGTTAACCCAGAGTAGACTTTCATTAAAGACCCAGGCACAGCCCAGCCACACAGGGAGCTCGAGGTCTCTCTGGATCCTTCCACAGGAAGATGGACCCACATCCTCCTTCCAGATCACAGGTCACTTCCTCCCCCACACACAGGATGTCACACTTCTGACACAATTGCTCCTGGGCCCCTGACCTGGAACCGAACTCTGTGATCATGGTTAAGTTCCCACACGAAGTCGTCATCCACTTAGTCCCTTCCTAGCCCTGGGAAACATTTGTCACCTGAATACTGGGTGTAATTCCACCATCAGGAAGTCTGGATGATCATCCGGGTTTCTTTGTCACAAAGGTCCTGAAGAGGACAGTGGTTCCTTCTCTGGTTCTGACAGACCGAGGTCAGGAGGGCCACCATTGGGGTGAGCTGATGCTCTCTCAGGGCACAGACACTTCTCAGTCTTGCTGCTCACCGTGTTGTCACGGGGTCCTAAAAATGATTGATTATAAAGTATTGGGATCCAAACCTCCATTCCATTTCCAGGAGCCTGACTCTCCCATTGTCTTTTAGATGTCTGGCTAAATTACCATCGGATGGTTTAGCCTCAATGGAGAATGTCTCCTAGTTTACGTAACAGCAGACCTTGGCCCTGGGTGTACCTGGACCTGTTCTGAGAACTTGCTTACAAGCCTAGAGACTGTTTAGGTAGGTGCCCCTTGAATTAAAAGAATTACTTCATATCAGCTTTATACATAATAGTAGATGTTTTCTGTGGTCACCCTCGCTGTTGGAAAGCCATTTAAGAGGATGCCGGAATAAACCGGAGACTTCAGTTTCCAGCATGGACTGAGATCCTCCTGAGATGACCAGACATGTCTGTGTCTCGTCCTTAACACCGCAGGATAGCTGGGAGCCTCCCCAGGTCCACCCACCCACACTCAGGATGGACCCCAGGTTGTTCAGATGGCTCTGATTACCAGAACAGACGGCCTCTGTAGCGTGGGACTGATACAAGTCGGGCCCCAGCACTGTGTGGTGTGGAGACTGAAACACAAAGAGGGAGAAGGGGAGAGGAAGAGGAGGCAGCGTGGAGAGAGGAGGGGACAGAGCAGGGCCTTGGACACAGACACACTAATGCTACCGTCTATGTGATTCTGGAAGATGCTCCTGCCTGGGAGGAGCCTGAGCTCAGAGGGAGGGAGACAGCAGAGATGACAGCAGAGCATGGAGCCTGGGAAGAGCGCTGAAGCTTTTCTCCACAGAGGGCGGACTGAGGAGGCAGCAGAGACTGTGAAGCCCCTCCCTACCTCCTAGCAGCCCTGATGGCAGGGGCTTCTGTTCACAGTGTTGTAAGAAAAGCATCAGGGGTGGGAGATCTCCCAGGAGGCTGAAAAAATTCCCTTCAAAACAGGGATGCAAAGAAGGGTGGGGGCACAGAACCTCTTCAGACAGCAGCCTTCATCTCAGGACCAAATCCCTGACACTCTCCCTGAGAGTCCTGGACCAACTCCCAGAACAAAGGGAAAGGCCAGTTGCCTCTGTCCTGTTAGCACTGCTGGGAAGTGTCACAGCTCATGACTCTGCTCAGCACAGCGTGAGTTACAAGGAGCACTGAGAATGAGGTGTCACACACAGAGCTGTCAGGTCAGGGCTCAGTTTGCCTCTTACTGAGCAGCCGAGGGAGCATGCCCAGATCGAGTCTGTGGGATCTGGTCTAAAGGTGCAGATCTGTGTCCTGACACACAGGTGATGAGTCCCTCTTGTGACAGTGGGTGAAAAGAGGAGCTCAGAGACTGGCTTGTGTCTTCCCAGGAGGACAAGGGCCTGAGAGGAGACTCAGGGTTTCTGTCTGCAGCCTGAGAGGAGAAAACGCTTAGGGGGACAGAGGCTCAGTAGCAGGCAGCTCCCAGTGAGCATGAAATGGTAAGGGGACAGGGGAGGAAAAGCCAGACTGTGCCCTACTTAAAGCTAATCACTGTGACCACTTTATTCTGAAGACAGATGTTCCCAACTGTGACAGGGTGACTTTGTAAAACAAAACATCAGACAGGTGGGCCAGTGAGCCACCTTCAAGGTTAGAGACACTCAATGCCAAGACTGATGACTGGATTTCAATTCTCAGATCCCACATTAAGGGGAGAACTGAGAACAGGCGTTGGTGGCACACGCCTTTAATCCCAGCACTCAGGAGGCAGAGGCAGGTGGATCTCTGTGAGTTCGAGGCCAGCCTGGTCTACAGAGTGAG